CTCTTGCAAAGTTAGGGTAAGAGATCAAAGAGCCTTGGAAACCAGAATCCACATGGTGTGAAAACACAAAGCAGATGAATGTGACCATCCTGCATAAATGTTTGAGCAAATGTTTGGCTGAAGGGAAGATAATGGAACTGAAAAAATTACTGTTGTGGATAAACCTGAGGAAATGACACAATGATGGACAAATTGGAATGTGAAGAAATGTATCATAAACATCTACTTTGGTCATCCACAACCTGGAAAAGAATACCCATCACAGCTTGAGAAAACTATCCATCTTGAACTGAGGAACAGTGAGAAAGAGATTGGTTCAAGGGGGGATTAACTGATGACAATGCCAATCTACAGTCTTCTTGGAGATGGGGGAATGGGAATAAAAACCTTGAGTGAGGTGAAAAACCAGTTCTACAGTTTCCATAGCCAGTACAGATAATACAGCATTTTGGAGATGATGACTACTTGCAGTACCAAAGGGAGGTTGAAAAACAACAAGACAATGAGAAAGGTGAGGGGGTAGTATAAAAACAAAGGGACAAACACAAAAAAGTGCCTACATGACCCAAAGACTGTTGGCAAAGCGACTCCACAAGTACAGAAATATGGTAAGTTGAAATCCCACAGGACCCGAGTCAAGAGGTGGCACACATGACAAGTCATTTATGTGAACCACAACAGTAAGCCCTGCATGAAAAGAATGGTAAGAAAAAGGCAAAAGGATGAGGAACAGGAGAGGAAGCAACTCCACATGATTCCCGAGGATTGGGATCCTGTTAGAGCTCCCATGATCTGGTAAGGTAGGAAACCAATGAAACCAGGAAAGACTGCTGGCGAACAGCTTCAGTCTAAGAACAAAAAGAATTGGGAACACTTCCAAAGACATTGTCATGAAGGAAAGAAAGAAAATAGAAGTCTCAAAGATAAGAGAGAGAGGGAGGTGCAAACAGAAAATCCTGACCAAGCAAATCCTAAAAACAAAGAAACCATGTCAACAAGAATGAGGCCAAGGTGGTAGACAAGTATTTCCATCTAAACTGTCATGGTTGCAATGGACAGTCTATGAGAGAAGGTGAAGCAGAAGAAAGTAGTTAAGGAGTTGAATGAGAGGTAAGATGAAGGCAAGTAGACTGAGAATAAGTAAGGGTTAAAGTAGGAGAAAGAGGGGCACCCCAGCAGGAAGGAGGTTTCACAGATTGAGATTCGAGGAAAACAGAGAGATCATGACCACAGGCCATAGAAAAAAAGAATCATGAAAATGAGGATGTTGAGGCTGATGTGGATCAGCATGTAGTTGGGAAAGAAAAGTATTAGCATGAACATGAATGTCTGGAGAGAGGGATGGGGGAAGAATATAAAATCAGAAAACAGAGGTTAAAAAAAGCAAAACTATTCAAAACTCCTCAAAAATTATTAGAAAGAGTATGTCACATACTTAAATAACCAGAGTTGCAAATGAAGAAGGTGAAGGTACCTGTTCTTCATCAGGAAGAGAAGAACCAGAAGAAAAGACAGGTGGAGGAAAGAGCTAATCAAAGTCATCATTGGATGAGACAAGCTCAGCAGAAGCAACTGTAACAAAAGGATGTGGGATTTGGGAGAGGTATTAGAGAGTACTAACTATCTGATATACAATGGTGATAAAACTGTTTAAAAACCAATTGCCTCCAGTTGCTACTAAAATGACAAGTGGAGAATCCTGAAGTGGAGTGTCAGGTTTGGGAAGTAACAGGAACATGGATCTGAGAATTAATGGCCAAAAATGACCCACAAATCAACAAAGACTGGCATTTTTATTTTTTTTTTTATAAGGTGGTTAACTCTTTCAACCCGCGATCAGTCCCTGGGACCGACCTCGTAACAATTTTGTGCTTGTTTTGGGTTTTCATGCTATAACTTTTAAATTAGTAAGTGAATGTTAATGAAATTTGGCAGTTTATCAGTAAACATTAAAATGCTTTCATATGCAAAATATCAATTTTTTTTTATTAAGTCTTAAGTCTTGTAAAGCAGTTTCTTCATGCCTTTTTTTCTTTTCA